TTCCAACTCGTCCACTGGGAAATTACTGGTGGAATGTAGACTAGTGTACCGATGCACAACCAAACTCTTGAAACCCATGACCTAACCCTTGACCTTGGTTGGGCTTCTGAATCTGGGTTATATAGGAAGGCAGCTAACTCTTATTCTTCACACATCCTCTCATTGCCCACCGAACCTTTGCCCTCTCCTTGGCCTGCGAAGTAGTCTGAATGCTCATATCTCTGTAGCTTCGAGTGTCACTTTGTCCAAATTGCAGTAACTTGCAATACGTGCAAGTCGTTGCGCTGCCTGGCGAGTCCTGTAGTAAGGCGAGCGTAAGCGAGAGGTTGTGAGAAGTGTATCTGTCTTGCATCTGTCGTGCTTGGCATGGCCTCCCACTCCTCAGAGTTTCATGCTGTAGTCTGTGTGACGATCTTCCTTCGCTAACAAGTGTGGAGCGCTCTGCGCCTGGGGAATGCTTGCTTGTGCCTAGCACAGATACGTGGTGAACGGGTGAGCGCCTCCATCACTGCAAAATGAAGTACAGTTTTCGGATTCAAAGTCGTTTGAAGTCTGAAACATCGATTCGTTTTGGGGGTTTGAGGGTTTATAGCAGTCGAGTCAGAGTATGGCTGAGGCTGTTTGTTGTTTTTATTGGAAGAATTTCCTGGTCTGTGATCACACACTGAAGGCTTGTTTCTCAAACATTCGCAGTGGCGGCCCTAGAGTTTTCGCCTCGCCTGGCTTGAGAATTGATGCGGTTCTATCCTTCCATGGATGTCTGAGACGGGGCAGTAGTAAGAGGTGTATAGGAGGTCCGTGCCTTTTAGGTGTCAAAGAAGTCTTGCTGAGTCAAATTGATCCATCTCCTCCAGATGCCTCGGCATCTGGAGGATCTGGCAGATTTTTGGCCAATCTGATGCGTCTAAACTCATCGGATAGGATCGGTCTGGGGGCGAAGGAAGTATTTCGATGATGTGATAAGCTCCCTCTACTGATTTTCGTGAGGACACAGCTGGCACGAATCGAACTTAACTTAGCCAACACTGAGCAATCCTGATAAAGGTCCCGCCGATTCGGATAGAACGCACAGTCTAGCCTAAGGCGAGTTGAAGAATGAAGAACATGTCAGTACCAAAAGGGCTAGCCATATATTGACTGTAATCATTTCCTTCGAAATGCTCTTTATTTCGGACCTGTTCATGAAAATACATAATGTATCCAGGTTCTACCTATAATAGATGAGCAAATTTAGAACACTTAGTGGCTAGATTCCTAACTCAGATGAAATATATACAACCATTGTTCTTGTATCTGTACTGGATGAATACAGCGAACATATGGTGCTATGTCTCAGGCATGCTTCTATTAAGCATGAAGATACTGTCTGTACTCTAGATAAACCCCTCTGTGCAGACTCAAATCTAGTTTTAAGATCGTTTTCTAGAAATGTAAAAGATCGTGCCTTCGGTGAGAATATGAGCAGCGTCGTTTATTTCAACATCCGAATATAGACAAATGGGGTTGAGACAAGGACAGTCAACTGACGTCGTGCAACTGATCAACAATGAACAAAGATTCCATTACGAAAACAGAGGAAGAGGCTAGTCCTGTCAACAATGAACGAAGACTTTTGCTGGATAAAGTGAAGGTTTTGTAGGAGTGGAAATGAAGTGAACGGTTGTGCCCGAAAGTCATATAACTCACAGCGTAGCGTATGTCAAGCTTGATTGCGCAGAGTGGTCATGAAAAGATGACAAAATTGTCGATACAATTGCGTCGAGGCTGGAACTGATATGCCCAAACACTGAAATGTCATGAATGAAGAACAATGCGAGTGAGAACCAGAATCGCGCAAGGTTGAAGATGGAGACAGAAACACTTGTAGCGTAATCCTGCTTTCACAGGCTTCAGATTAGTTTGACATAATTATGGTCCCTACCAGGTACAGGATACATGGTAATAGAGTGAAACCATCGTCACCTATGAATTGACTTTAGCAACATAGCTACGAATCGTTCATCACCAGGTTGACGAGTGTGACCAATGCCATCTCAACATTGTCCCTTGAGAAAACCGAATGACTTGATGAAACTGGATTTGAAGCACAATTTCCTCAAGTTACGGATCTTCATTGAAATGAATAATGATTCTGGCTTCTATAATCTCTTATATGATCAGAACCTCAACAGAATCAATGGGTCCGCCATGGACACCCGGAAAGTCAAAACAAGATAATGTGGTGAAGATTCGTGAAAGGTTTGTAGTTTTTACTACAGCAATTTGTCTAACACTCTGAGACGAACTTTTCACTTCAATACATTGGACGAAGTCACTCATCAACGCTTTGAACCAGTGAATCATGCCAGTTTTTCAATTCAACTTTCCTCTGGTGGCCACCAGTTGATGTGAAAAAGTCGAAGAAAGAACATGTCTTCCAGGCTGAACTAGTCAACTGAGCTGATGTTTGCCTTGAAGTGCGTGCTCAAAAAGCATAGAGTATAGTGGCATGATTCCTATGGACTTTCTTCTGGTGGGCACCAGTTGCTGAAAAATTGCTGAGTCAAAATTGTAGAGTCAGAATCTCTATCGCAAGAATAATGTAATACCTCCACTTTTAATGAATAATATATTGTTTGTAACCATAATTTAGAGCTGGTTTATGAGATAAAAATTTTGAGATGGGAATTATCATCAAATAAATTTGCAAATTAGACTACTCATCCAATAGAAAGTTATTGAATCACAATTTTAAATATTGTAACAAAAATATAATTGAATATGCTTTAAACAGAAGAGAGAGACAAAGAGATGAAATAACATGTTTTCGTTTCAACGATTTTATCAATTGAGAAATGAGCTTTATTTCTTTCATATGGCATATAGCACAGGAGTGCAAAAGTGACAGTGTGACTTGTTTCATTTCTGTAAATGTATCAAATATTTGAGTTTACATGTAAATATTGCACCAGATCTTCATATGAAGTCACTTATCACTATTGTCTAGCATTTAGCATCAGAATTATTTCTTAAGTCATGTATACCGCACATTTTCTCTTAATTTGCAAGCAACTTCGAAAACTTCTTGAGAGGTTGATCTTGAGCTTAGCAAGTATCATGCTGGTTCTATCAACTTCTATACAACGCGATAAAGCAAGCAAGAGTGCTCTTAGCATGGACGAAAGTAGATTTCAATTTCATGATTGAGGTGTAAGGAACTCAAGACTCTAGAACTAGAACTGTGCATGAGCTCACATGCTTGACAGTTGAGCTAGAAGAAAAATCATATCAGCAATCGAGAACCTCGATTGCGCTTCTATTCTGTTCAAAGTTATTCAAGATTATGTTTAGTAAACTTCCGTATAGCTTACCAGTTTGTTCTGAACCTACATGTTATGTAGAGTTATATATAGTACTGTACCGATATTTAGAGAAAAAAGAAAGCACAAGAGGCATTGTCAACCATGCCGACAGCGCATGTGCCACTCAGGTATCAAAATCATCCACTTTCTTGGATAGATTAAAATAGATTCAATGAAGATGAACTTTGAAATCTTCGTTGTCAGGTGACGACATGTAGTGTATTATCACACTGATGTATTCAGTGTGACTCACGTATACTGTTCGCTTGCACAACAAACTCAAGATCTACTCTGACATTCTAACACCATTGTCCAATCACAGAGCAGGAAGGAACACGCTTCTTGAGCTAGAATATTGTCGCTACCTTGATCGCTCATACTTTTCAATTAAGAGATCTGATTGAAGACGATGCATGCTTTTTCCTCACACTACCGATCGAAATATCTGTCTTCCCGTGAGTCTTTAAGCAGCTAGAATCGAAGTCTTTACATTACAAAGTGTACACAAACGTTACAAAAACTTTTCTGATTATTTTTTCTTATCGTTAAATTATTGTGTTACTTGGTTATATTTTTCCGAGTGAAGTCATAGAAATGTAGTCAGTGACTACATACTTCATCATCATACGCTAAAGATTGGTGTGCTCGAACTCAAAGCAAGATTCAGACACTACGCGGGCTCACTATTCCAATTGAGGCGAACAGTGGAGGTTATTCGTCTCTGTGAAGCTCATTAATGAGCTGGCCATTCCTCGCTACATGATCTCAAATGAATTATACCTTAAAAAAATGTAACATTTATGCGATGATGCGCAGAATATCGAGTACTTCATAAAAGTCTAATGAAATAATGAGACTCAGAGTCGGAAGTGAGCGCAGTATCTGCGTCTCTGTTTACCTTTTTTTTGTTTATGGTTTTATTTCAACTTCTAGAAAGATTCTGCATAGTATCTTTCGCGGACTTTTATGCCACTCAAGTTGTTGAAAGGGAGTTGAAACTTCTGTCACTTGTGATATTTTATTTCTCATGTTTGTATGTAGACAAATCGTGGAACTAAACAGTTAATATACTTTGTGTGACTACCCACACAATCGGGGTCAAGTAGAAAACAAGAAAGAATTTTATGCCACTAAAGTTGTTGAAAGGGAGTTGAAACTTCTGTCACTTGTGATATCTTATTTCTCATGTTTGTATGTAGACAGATCGTGCAACTAAACTGTGAATATACTTTGTGTGAGCACCCACACAATCGAGGTCAAGTAGAAAGCAAGAAAGGATGGGACATGAACTTGACTCTTGTAGCTCTCCAGCACAGTAATACAACTGGACACTCAGTATTGCGAATGTGTTCAGGGCAGTCGGGTATTATGAAGCCTTATGGCATTGATGAGAAATCTGAATCTCATCAATGTCCCATTCCTCAGAATTCGATGACACTGGGCTACACAATCAGAGACGACTTCGCAAAAGCGCTTGTATACAAAGCAGCAGCTTTCGGAATCATATATTACCCTATCCATGGTGAAAGGTAAAAGCCAAGGCATGATCCTAGAAACACCGAAGTCAAGCATGTGCAGCATATGCTACAGCAGTGGACCAGGGTAGAGACTGCAGCTGGCTGGCAGGTGATAAGATACATTCGAAGCTGAGCCTGAGCGTTTGAGGGTATATCAGCTCACAAGCCGTTTGCTATGGCAGGGGCCTCATGGTGTGGGGTGAGAGAGCAGGCCTGGGTCTGGGCAGCGCAAGACGACGTCTTTGTACGGGGATTGTGTCTAGACGCCTCTCGCTCATGATGATTCCCGAACATTCCTATCATTTCGGCACGAGGTGATAGGGATGATTGAGCGACGAGGAGTTCTGCTATGTCTGGTTATCGTCGTTCTCGCACACGCATGAGTGGAAGCTCTGTTGGATTGTGACAAGTTATCATAATTCTAAGTTGTTCGTAGGTTGCAGAGAAGGGAAGGCATGCCCCACGAAGAGAATTAAACAAATCCGGAGGTCAGGTGGGGACCCTAGTGAGCTGCCACATAGAGCATCCTCATAATTGACACCTTCGTATCCTTAGAGACCAGACCATGAACTGGTTGGAACGGTTGGTAGAGTTAGCTGCACGTAAGGTTGCTGATAAACTTATGACCAGCAAGGAAGGACTTGCTTATATGAAGGACTTTGAGGATGACGATCCTCGCTTGGTCCGTAGGATCTTCGTGGACCGGTCTAAGGAGAAGGATGTAAAGAAGAACGATCCAGACCTGGCCCACGTTGATAAGTAAGAAGACTGGTTAGACTCTGAGTTGCGATATTTCCTGTACTAACCTTCGTTTCATAGACACGATAAATTGTTACGTGTATTGAAAGAAGGCCAGAAGCTTTAGCGTGTATGATATGGTGTAACTGATCAATCTCAATGTCGGCCCATGATAATGACAGTGCCGAAGGAGCAATGGAGGTCAAGAAGCGTGTCATCCTCGGAAGGCTGGTCTATGGGATGTATGACTGGTCCAGAGGTGCAGAAGAATACGAGGAATGGTGGACCAAGTCGCACTATGATCTGTGGAAGTTGGACAAAATATTGACTGAAGACGAGCTTAATCTCTATGCAACAGGTGCGTGTTATCGGACTCACATGATCCATCTCGACCTGAACCCCATCTGAATCTGACCTTGCTTGACTACGACAAAAATTATATGCTTGTGCAGAAGTGCAGGATCAGCATAAGAACAAGTACTTCGGTGTCTTCCGACAAAAGGAGGGAAGTCCTTTCGTCAAGGATGGCGACTACCCAGACTGGGTAGTCGCCATCGGGGGAACTCAGCCCGAGTCTATCGAGGATCTCATACACGATTTCAGGATCTTTGTGAAGAAAAATAACTTTTCAAAATTGATCACAATTCTGGAGGTTGTGGTCCGGCGTCTCGTTGTGCAACATGGGAACTGCAACGTGAACGTGACCGGTCATTCAATCGGGGCCGCAGTGGGCTTGGTGGTCTGTCGAGGGCTGGCACTTGAGGGATGTCTGGTCGAGGGCCACTTCTTCAATCCTCCGCTCATCACTCGGGAGTCGCCCCATCACAGGAGAGGCAAAGCCGAGCTCGAGATACTGGCCGAATTCGGATGGTATCCGAATCTCTATGTGAACAAATATGACCACGTCAGCTCTAGTTTTCTCTCATACTTCGCTAGTCCACACTTAGCTAATCTATCAGCAATGATTCAATCTATCAGCAATGATTTTCGTCATAGACTGAGATGGTATGATGCGCGGTTCCCGGATGAACATATTGTTAAGATCAAAAAGGATCAATACCACGTCGATAGAGCACACGGTTTGTTGGTTTGGCTGAATCCTGAATACTCCGAGAAGACTCATGTTGCTCTGTTTCCTTTTGCACGTATTGTTAAGATCCAAAAGTATCCAAAAAACGTCGATAGAGCACACGATTTGTTGATTTGGCTGGATCCTGATGTCCCACATTCCAAGATGGAAGAAGTTGCTTCATACAATGCTTTCTACTCTGACCGGTCGACGACCGACTCAGACGAAGACGATTCAGATGATTCCAATTCAGACCATCCAGATGAGAGATTGAACACCAACGCTTCAAATGAGGTAAATTTTTCATCCTTCTCCACGCATCTGTCATACTTGTCATGTTGATTTGCAGGGCTTGCTGCAACCTGATCACACACAACACAGACAAACTGCAGTGTTGTATCCTGTCCAACATGAGAGAGAACAAACACAAGAGCAACAAAACTCACGCGAGAACTCACTCAGAACTCGCAAAGTAATCGTGGTGCAAAATGACTTACTGCCTTTTCATATCAGGAGGGGTTTATATACTAACCTGAGTGCTTGACACGCACTTCTCGTACTTACTATCACTTACTATCACAGCATGAACTCCACGCAGGAGTTAAACTACCTAACTACACTAGGCGTGTACAGGGAGACAGAGAGCGGGCACTATGCTAATGGTAATTGCTACCTGCAACTACCATTAGCAATTTTAGTAATCTGTCTGTAGTTGCTACCTGCAACTACAGACAGATTACTAAAACTAGAAGACAACAAGAATTATCTAACATGTCACAAGCATGACATAGACGAGTTCTTACATCTGGAGACAGATTTCTTGTTTGAGCCGATTTTCACATTCTGCGCCACAAGCGGCGTAGTAGAACGAGTCTCTTCGGTCAATTCTAGAGCTACAACAAATTTTTTACTTGTTCTTCATGTTGGTTAAATGTGCTTTGATCTTGATATAAGTCTTCAAGTTTGTCGATGGCGCAGGTTCCAGAAGAAGGGGGTTCCGCAAATGAGATAGCATCTATGGTCGAAAATCGGATTAATGACGAACTGTATGTGCTGTATGAACCATCGGATGGACTACCTTACGACACGGAGATAATATTTGTGCACGACCTATACACTGAAGGCTGTAGAGATGCATGGAGGACGACATGGACCAACGAGGATGGCGTATGCTGGCCAAAACAATTCTTGGCAGAAAAGTTCCCAAGAGCTCGTATGTTATCGGTGTCTTATGATGCTTGTGTGACTACAAATAGTACCCAGGGCCGAATGGACTCCTTGTACGTCATTGCGGAAAATTTGATGCACAACCTTTTTCTTCAAAGCAGCAACGTTGGGCAGACACCCAACTGCCCAGTTTTCTTTGTCGGACATGGCCTGGGATGCTTCGTAATTAAGAAACTGATGATCACAGTTGATAGCTATAGGGGGTACCATCAAGAGAGAAGGAACAGATTGATGAACAACGTCGGTGGCTTTGTGTTCTACTCTCCTTTCAATTTCGGAGTCAAATGGAATTTGTATGAATTTGAGTCTGGTCAAAAGAATCCACTGGCGAACAACTTGATAGTACATCATCCAGAGCTTAGTCGACTCAATGGTGAATTCAGTAAGCTTCGACGAGATATGCAAAACCGCCGAGAATCAAAACTTCTGTGGTCAGTTCTGACAATTTGCGAGTCACATCCAACAGCATCAAAAGCGGTGAGGAAATCTCTCGATCACACTTTTAGGTGCTGGATGAGCTTTTCATCAGTATTAGATGTATAGAGTTGTACAAGTTTGCAGTTTTTTTCCAACTCTGTTTCAGTATATAGTTATTTTATCAGAAGAACTGAAAAATCAGATTTCGTAACAGAAAATTGACATATGGACATCATGACTTTAGGTAGAGATGATTTTGATGTACTTGATTAAAAAATTTGAACCATTTGTTTTATTTTTTTTGCTGTAGACGTTGCTAATTAGTGTAATATGATTCTATAGTCTGCTAAACCGTCAATTATTATGCAGTAATCTAAAAGTCTATAGACTCGCTCTATTGTGATGCAGCCTGGTCATCAAACATCAGAACCCTTTGTGTCAGAGGGAACTGCCAGATTCGATTGTGAGTTGTTCCTGTTTGGAGATGGTGACCATTTTAGTCTCTGCAAACCACTGTCAATGGGACAAGTTGGATATCAATCCGTCGAAGATTTCATTGCTAATATCCTGGAGGAGAGTTATAGAGGATCTCCTCCCAAGTTCATACCTAAGTTTATTCCGACATCTGATGAAAATAAATCCAGGTTAAACCCTAACCCTAAACCCAGTGTTTTTTATAAGAAAATCAGTGATTCAAACTTCTATATTACTATCTGTTTGAAATGTTCTGTTTTATGTTTGAAATGTCTTAGATCAATTCAGGGTGGAGTGGGTTAGTATCAGGCGTTGGCAACGGGAGCGGGAGCTTAGCGTATTCAGTGGACCTTTGCAACACTTGTAATTCTCCCTCTGACGGAAAGCGTCATAAACTCATGTAAGGGCCTCTATTAAGTATTCTGTATGTTCTCCAAAATGTTTCTCTGTATAGTTTTCCTAATAGTTTATAGAGGACAAGAATATGAGCAACTGTCCTGGAGGAATGAAGTCCGATATGCTGGAGCTGTATACATGTACTCGTCTTAGGTCCCCGGGATATATTATGGATGCATGCTTAAGACATACGAGAGTGGAGTTAAGGAAGATGAAATCATATCAGAGCTGTCAAACGTATAGATACAAGTGACGAGTATTTTCCCGCTACATAAAGATGATGTAAATTAGTGACATGCGAGAGCCAAACAAGGTCAGCGACGGGAAATCTCTGTTGCAGTGTTATGATGGAGCTTCGCTTAAAGATATACTCGTGATATCAGAGATTTGTCCCAAACAAATTGATAGAACCGCCAATTGTATCTAACATTCTGAGGGAAAATAAAAATATGGCACACTGCCTGGATGCAGTAAAATATATCTTTACACGACCAAGTCTTCTTCTGACATTTCCCGCACCCAAGAGTCTCTCCACTTTAATATCACAAAAGCTTCATACACGTAAAGTCCGGCCGTTAATCTTTAATCTTCTCTACGCGTGTAACATCCAGCTCTGCCCGTGTGTCGTCAACCAAATGTGTGCTGACTTGTATCGGTGTGCTTACACGGATTTATTTGAAGCTGCAAAACCAGGCCATATTGGCCATACCTTGTGATACTCTTCCGCAAGAATAATGTAGCAGACGCCTTACAGTCGTTTCTTGTACCTTATGGAAAGATTAAATCCTTTCAATGCGTGTATTTGAACTTCAGTTGCAAGAGATTTTTTTCTTCCATTTGTCACTCCAGAATACAGAGCAAGTTGAGTTTTCAAGTCAGAGCTTTATGATGTCACCTAGCCCATGATTCCTGAAGGGCTTCCGAGAGGTTCGAGAGTGCTGGGCGTGAAGAACAGAATGTGAAGAGTGAATCGGAAGGAGGAAACCAGCATGCTCTGAAACTGGTGGTGGTTTGTGCAGCTCGTGCCGCATCCGTAGGCAACCATACAGAGACGTTGAAATACATTGCAAGTTTCAGGGATTTCATAGATTGATTCTATTGATGAAAACATAAAAGTATCATCAACAGATTTTACTAGTTTTTCTTCATAGTGATAGCATAAATTACACAATAATTGCAGGGAAGTGAAGACCTCAAAATTTTGGGATGAAGACTGGTACTCCCGTCAATCTATTCTTGACGGCAATTCACACAAGATTCACAATAGGACTTCAAGCAAAAAAATTAGAAGCAATACTGATATTGATACAACTGGTGTTGACAAAACGAAGGTACAATGTCATGAAACTGTTTATATTTAATACTAGGACGCTACTAGAAACTCTAAAGTTAAAAAGTTGCAGCTCCGGACAATGTCATGAAACACTTTATATTTACTACTGGGACTCTACTAGAAACTCTCTACTAAAAAGTTATACTCACGGCTATTGTATGACACGTACGTGTCATTAAAAAAATGAAATATGTCATGTCTGTGATGTATTTTATTTTAGTTTTTTATTTCCATAATTCAAAATGTGTATATCATGTTACACTTACTTTATTATTTCCATAAATCAAGATGTCTATATCATGTTATTTGAGATGTAGATACTAGGATTTTAGCTCATTTTAGATTGGAAGCTACAAATTGCATCTTCATTTAATTATACTCTATTGCCTTATTAAATTTCCCTTCTTGCATGTTGTAACAAGAGAATCAAGATAAACTCCTGTTATAAATCCAGGATACAAATTAGAAATCTACTGAATAAAATTCTAGCTCAGATATGACCAGGTTGTAAGTTGGCAATGAGCTGAAGATCTTAATCCCGTTTTAACAACCTTACAATCGGATAAAACCATGATGAAGATTCCATGTCAACTAGATTTGTAACTTAAAAATTATGACGTGTCCTATAGTGTCGTTTATACATTATATTGTAACCGGCAATATATTGTATTGGATCTTGACTTGCGAGGAGATGAGAACCATATACTCCATTTACAAAGCCGAGAGTGCAACCTAGATTTACGCTTATTGTTGCATTATTTCACCAAAAATCATAAAAATATATGATCTGTGTCCGAGCAAGATATTACATTCTAGACTTGCATGTCAAAGTGGTGTCACCTTACAATAGAAAGAACTACATAGCGTGTATGAAAACCTGAGACGACAACGCAGACGCACATAGGAAAGTGATGGAACGAGCACCGAACGTAGAATGATGCTAGAGGCACTCACATGCTTTGTAGTACAACCGACGACGGTGATAGCTGTAAGTACACCTGCGCTCAAACCCTAATCTAACTCTATACCTCAGTAATCAGTATAACAGCCCATTTGTTTGCTTAATTATGAAATAAATCGAATTGGATTAATTGAAACCACGTAACTAAGATCTTAACACTCGTGACTTCATCGTACATGTGTCACAATGCATGAACATTCGTGACGGGAATCGAAAGTCGACATTGAATGTGGTGGAAACGAGGGGGGAAGGATTGTATGCCACTTGGGCCGGCTGGTGGAGGATCGAGGTGTGGCGAGCTCGAAGCGGAGGGAAGGGTGTACGCATGGCGGAGCGATCGTACTCCGTGTGGGCTCTCGCACCTGCCGATCATCCGGGCCTGGAGGAAGCGGCGAGCCATTTACTGCGAGACTACGGAGGCCCGAAGTTCGAAGCTCACGTGACTGTTCTGGGAGGCATTGCCTTGGCTCGGGAAGATGCCATCGCTAAGCTGCAGAGTCTCTGCCGCTCGCTGCCTCCCATCTCGTACAGACTCACGGGCGTGGATCGCGGCAGCTTCTACTATCAGTGCATCTATCTGACTGCGGATCCTACACCGCAGGTCCACTTGAGAATCCCAAGCATCCATCACAATTTTCGCCTTTATTGATTGAAATTGAACGATTCTTGTCCGTCGACATAGTAGGCATCAATTAAAACTGACCACGTTCATACATGGAGACTCATTGCAATGTACACCTCAGCTTTCTCTTTCAGCGCTGTTGACATATTTTACGCTTACGAGGTCATCTCGATGTAGGTAATGGAGGCCAACGCCAAGGCACAGAGTGTTTTTGGTCAAGCGCCTGCCAAAGGTGAGCGCTCTCTGCTACATTTTGTCTGCTCTGGTGTCGTTGCGAGAACCGAGGATGCGTGTCAGTTTTGATTGGTAGTCGTTTAATCTGATCAATTGGCGATTTTCTTTCTGTTGGTGTACAGAGTACATGCCTCACCTGAGTCTGATCTACGGGGATTTAAGTGATGAGGATTTGAATTCAGCTAAAGCTGTCGCTGAGAAGTACAGTCAGTTTTACAAGAATTCTGAATTTGTGGTGAACAAGCTCTGTCTATATGAAACTGATACAAACGACAAAATGCTGACGACCTGGAAACGGATTGCCGAATTTCCGCTGGAAGGTTAGAACTGAGAGAAGAGATTTAAGTTCTACTCACTGATAGGAACAGTTATCACATCCATTCATTCTGTAGTAATTGTACACAACAGGAACGCAACTCCCGTTATACTGCGTTAACATTAGCAATGACAGCAATGAGATCTGTCTGAAGGATCATAACATGGGAGATCAACAGAGGAAAGAGTAAATGCTCCGTTTTATAGAGCTTCAACATAGGTCATAGAGTTTGTGTAATATTTACTTGCTAATGTCAACAGGATGAATGGTTTAGACTGAAGGACGAGTCTACAGTACATGCGATGGAAGTAATAGTGAGTCTTAAGTAGAAATCGATCCTCAACGAAGACACCTCCGAAAAGCCCCACAGATAATCGTTACTGCCACCAGGATCCCATGTTTCTGCAAGAAGGGGAATGTTGTTTACACTGGTGACTGAGCCAGCAATCGCCCTACCTCAGTCGATACGGCTAAAGCTTTGATACCCAGCGGAGCAGGTAGGGAGGATGTCAGACCACCTATCAAAAACCGAGGACTATTCTGCAACAAGGTCACTTCGTCAATCAAGCCCTTGGTCTTAGTCTTGATCGTTTTCTCCAACATACTGCACATGTGCTCTCCTTTCTCTCGAAGCTTCTTCAGGCGTTCATTTAACTCTTCATACGTCTCGACCTGTACATCGCGATAGTAACAATTAGGGGTCGAGGGTGGCATGACAACGATTCCCAAGTGACTGCGTGTTAAAAAGAACACTTGGTGCATACCAAGTGTTGCTTTATTGACAAACAGTAACTCCACTTCAAGACTGGAAATCCTGACACACTTTAGTAGCTGGCATCTTTTGATCAACACTTTGAAGTTCAAACCATGGAGTTTTGGATTTCAATGGAAGCAAAGCTCACACCTGCACTTGCAGTTTCACGATACTATCGTCTACGGCTTCCTGAAGCTCATGATCCGACGTTTCAGGTAACTTGGCGATGACTGGATCGGCTGGCCGGATTTCGATTGCCTCTGTGTTGAGCAATCTCTGCCAATCTTCTATCTCAGCCATGAACCTGTCCACAAAAATTCAAACTGCTTCAGAAAAATGGTCCTGCTTCACTGCAATCTCTAAAACTTATCACTGTGTGCGCACATAACATCTAAGGTGCACTATGAAACTTAAAGCATAAGGATATTGGGGACCAAGCCATGTCCTAATTTGCAGATCACCTGATTTGCAGGCACATGATTCAAGACGGGTCCAGCTACGCGTTTTAAAAAGGGAAGGGATATACAAAAGGTTGCAGACTACCGGATGGACAAGAGTCAAGTCTAATCACTTACTTCAATTTCTTAGATTCCAGCATTGCAACCTTCTTTCTACGAGCGAGTTCTTCCTTGAAACGCTGCTGAGATTCTGCCCACTGTCTGCGTTCTTCTGCTGTGTCAGGATCATCCTCACAGGGACCCGTTTGCAACTTCTTCCGACGCTTGAATATAAATCCATCATCATCAACAATCTCCCAATCTGCTCACTCCCACACAAGTCCACACCACCGTCAGTCCAAATTCCGCTCCGTATCAATGACTTCGAAAATCGGGGAGCAAGAGCTAGACCCATCAGAGAGGCAACTTCATTACAGCAAACATCGCAAAAGCAACTTGAAGGTGAGAGATAATGGCAGGTTACCGTCGACTGAGGCGATACTCATCGTGACACCAAACGCAGGATCACATGAAAGAGCACTATAGGGACAGTGACATCACTCTTTCGACGTCCCTAGAAATCAGCAATCAGCAACCGCCTGCCGAGATGGTATTCATCCTCGATCTAAGTTCTTCAACTGGAACGCACGATTCGGACCTTCAAACACCACGACGAAATTACGAAGCGCATCGCAAGCGCACCTCGCTGCCGACTCGTTCCTGTCTCTGCGGCCTTGAGCCTTCGATTCCTCGGTCTCGAATTCGGCTGAGCTTCGCGAATTCCCTGCGCCAGACCCCGAGCCGCGATCGCCGAACGAACGGGTTGCGAGGAGCAATGTTCAAACTTGCGAGCAGTGGGAGCGATTCGTACGAGAAAGAGGCGGGAAAGAGGTCAACCACGTCCTCTGTTGAACCTCGCCCGTGGTCACTCTGTAGTTCCACCTATATTTCTCTCACGTTCGCGCTTTTCTATGAGTTTTCGAAGCGTATCAAAACATATTTCCTATTTTATAAATCAGCACCTGTTTCTTTGAACTATCAAATTTTCAAGATTTTAATTTAATTTTTTGATGCATAAATTTCTGAAGAAAAGATGTGAAATTATGAGTAGAAATTTAAATTTAAATTTTTTGAGTCATAAGATTCTGAAGAAAAGATGCGAGAATAGAAGTCAGTTGGTGCACATGTAATCCAAACAAGTAATATAACATCAATCTACACTTTAAAAAAAAAATTATATATATGCGCGCGCAACAGCCCCAGAATTTTTATACTAATCAGTGATATTGCTTGAACAGTGAGACACACGCGGAGTAATGAACTATGATGTTCTCTAATTTTATCATTTTTAATGTTTTTCTGTTGTCATGATCAAAACTCACATTTGTCTAGATTCTTGATGGCCGAGATAATTGTATAGACACTTGTGTTAAACAATGCATGAGGTTTTCAATGTGGAGTGGTTATAAATTTGAGATATTTATAGGTATACAATAAAAGTAAGTATTACAATAGGTATTACAACATAAAAGATTTATTACTTTTTTTCCCCCAAAATGATTAGATTTCCAAATATGTTTTCAATTTTATTACACCTCACATGAAACAACATGTAATCTATCTATGATACACATTAACAACAAAAAAATTGTATAAGAGAAAAAATCCTAGTTTTCAATGTTATTCACTTCAGTTTAGGTAGTTTGAAACATCATGTGTATTTAGATCTTAAGCATTATATCTGATTTCAAATAAACAGTGAAAATATAATAGAATATATACTAAGGTTGTTGGATATTCATAAATATGATTCAGTGTAACTATCTTTTACAATCTACTTAAAAATCAACATCAAGATCACTATGAACCTAACATAAATCTTCATATTTTAAATCATTCATTACAATTGAACCTAATCAATTACATTACAATGATCATCTACAAAACTCTTATGATATCACATTCAATTTCGAAATCAATAAAGAGAGTTTTAAAACACTTTAATCTTAGAAAGGATATAATTATATAATCTCTGATGATTTCATCATGCTTTTGTCATTGTGATTTAAAATTTTGTATTATTGAAGTAACATGATCTAGAATTGTTGTACAAATGTTTTTTATTGAGATCCATTTTTATATATTTTCAAATATAAAGGATACATTTATGTCATATATGTGAAAACTCACATATAAGTTATTCAATAACATTGATTATTAGATCATATGATGTATGTCGGTATTGATGTACAAACATTACTAAAAAATTATAAATGATTTTCATGCATGTCAATATAGATTATCAAAAAAATAAATGAGATAGCCATATTATTTTTAACTTATAATTTCAAATTTTTTAATGAAAATCACAAGATTTTTACATCATGACACAAATTAATAATCTTGTTTTTATTTCAAATCTTAATAATTTTATTTTATAACAGTTTTTGTTGAGGTTAACTCCGATCAAGTAGTAACCTTAACAACTAGCTAAAAATAGCTAAAAGGATCGCATGTGCTGAAGTATTTATGTCCCAGGATTTGTGTATTACCAAAACACTTTCAGTGTAACTCTCACGCATGAGCTTCTTGTTGTGGACGTAGTACCTTCAAAGGGGTCAACCACGTTACATTGATGTCATGCCTACTCATGCTTGTGTATTACGGTTTTTTGTTTACCTGTAACAATTGGTATTAGAGTTGGTTTTGATTCGGAGTTTGTGAAATTTACAGGTGGTTTTCTGAAACAAGCGGACAGATATTATGATGCTCACGGTTTTCTTACGGTGACAGAAGTTTTACAGTGACAATTTTTATTTTTATTTTGATGAGTGATGGTTTTTTGGCGATTGACAAGAGTTTTATAGTTTCTTTCAAAGTTTGTGACAGAAGTTTATGACATTGAAATTGTTCGGATGAATCTAATGATAAAATTTTGAGATTGATTCAGTTATAATAATTCTTTGGAAGATTTGAAACTGACAGTTGTCTACAAACAAACAGCTTTAAAAGTTTAGGGTGGTCTAAACTACAAAAGATTTTGAAACTCGATGTGCTTGTCTTTTATTTTTTAGATTGTTAAGAGACCTACGTGGCTAGAAGCAATAGTTTTCTTTGGATGATGGCTTTAACAATAAGTGAACAAAAGCATTTGGCTGCCTTATTTCTCCTCTAAGCAATTGCAACTTAAAGTCTCGGAGTGAAATCTCTCTTAAGGTATCAAGCAATCAAACTTCCATGGTGTAATTGCTTCTCATTGAGACTTCTGAGTTAAGGCTACTTTTGGAAGCATCAATACTCTTGATGAGCTGCAATTGATCCTAGATTGTAGAGAAAATTTGACGCACTACAATCAATGGTTCAAAGCGTGAGGACTGTACTATTCTCCAAAATCCAATTGAGGTTTTAGATCACATCGTTCAAGGCCGTCATGACGATATATAGGACGTCTCAATTTTAGTGACTTTCAAAGTTAAAAATTTTGGTTATTTTAGTCCACGAGATGTGTGTCATCAAGCCTCAAGGTGTCGGAAAGCGCTCACGAATGGCAAGTACAAACCCGATGCCAATATCTTGTATTCTTTTGAATTCATCGTCGGTGGTTGTTTAGACTAGAAGTCATTCAAGGGAGATGCGGAGTACGTGCAGGTTTTTATGAAGCATACGTCGCGGATCAACTCGATAATCTTGTATCTATTCTTGCCATCTAGTCTTAGAGCTACAATTTCCCACAACATAATATCATGACTTTTCAACTATATCGCGGACATTTTGATCTACTTCTTGTCTAGATGTCTTTGGTTCTTATGGTTATACCAATTAAGGAAGTATTATCATTTTCCAAAGGTTGTGTAATATCAGTTTTGTATTTGTGAAGAAGTATTAAAAGTAGCCTAGGAGTTGATCATGATTAGTTTAGGAATAACTAAGTCTAGTTAGTTATGACTATGTTAAGCTATGAAATCTATAGTTGGCAAAATAAGTAATGAAATTCTAGAATGTTTTGAATGAGCACAACTATTTTGTTTTCCAATCAAAGTCTAGATTTCTAGTATGGGAGACTTTGACTACAAAATTAATTTTGATTGACTTGACTAAATAATGGAGATTTTAATGGTTAGACCAAGTCTAATGTTGACTTAGTGGCAACTGGAGTTTCTAGAAATTGAAAAGTCACAAATGGCATGCCCCCACCTCAACCTAAAAATTAAAAAACATCTAGAAGATTTAAGAGACCAATGACGTTTTGCCACATATTAAAAACTAGTCAAACTTACTATGATTTATCTTTATGAAGTAAGTTAAATAAAAATTATCATTTATTACTATGATAACTTTTCAAGTAGTTATAGAAAAAGGTAGGGAATAGACTCTCAAGCAAGTTTAAAGTATTCATATGTAGATACTTGTTTCATCAATGGAAAAGTGACGTTTTTAAGTATATTGGAGTGTTGATGTGTGTGTATGTGAGTGATGAATTAAGAGAATGTATGAAAGAGACATGAGTATGAGTAGAAATCCTAGCTTGCTGTAATCATGATGAGCTACTGCAAAGTCATATGAGGTAACTCTCAGTGACAATGATCTCGTAAGTTGTATTTGTTGTTTCGTTGTCGGGATCTCAGTCTAAACAAGGAAAAATGTTCCAAATTCCAATTCTATCCCAAGAGAAAATGTCCATGAGAGTTCACTCGGAATTAACATTGGAAATGAAAAAATGCAGTGCATGCTTGAAAGTGAAGTAACTTTTATATATCTGGTAGTGTAATATATAAAAGTGATGTTTTGATCACTTTAGCAATTCCTTTGGAGAGAAATTTTTTTTCTTGGGATCGTAAACAATTTTTTGGGAAGCATTTTCAAAATTTTATATTGATTTTAGAGTGAAAAAAGAGGTATGTTTTGGTTTTTGTTTCAAGCCTAAATCAAATGTATATAGAAAATTATGAGTGTTGAAAGTTAAGGGGGTTTTCACAAGTATCAAAAGATAACCCCTGGAAAAATTTGTACAGAGCAAATTAATTTTTTTGTATTTGAAATTATCATTTGAAAATTTTTTAAAAATTTATATTAGGAAATAAGCTATATTTCAATAAAAATTCCATTGAAAGATCATGTATAAATAAATTTCAAAATGTTATTTTGAAATTCAGAAGTTACAAATTCAAGGTAAGATACCAAAACTTTCAGATTTTCTTATTCATAGTTTTCATCATGAAAGAGCGTTCTTGGTAGAGAAATTTTGAATGTTTTCACCTTATGAAAAAATGAGAAAACAAGATAATTGGAAAGTTAGATTATTCAAAGTAACTCAAGGCTTGGAGGAGAACATCTACCTAGGACACATTGACAAAAAAACATGATTGAAAACTTTCTTTACAATGAAAGCTACAAAAAGTTAATGTGTGAGGTCATTTTCTTGAAACAAAAGTACAACGAGAAAGATATATTTTGTGTGGAGAGAACCAAGAAGTTGTATTCTAGATTTTACGTGAAGTTAAGGAAAGGTGAAGTTGGATTCAAGATTCCACGTGATATTAAGTAAAGGTGGAGACGAAGTGAATTCTACAATGATGGAGATCAGGTCGATGCTCACAAGCTAGTTACAATTTGCTTTTGGAACGTCCTTGGTTTGGGTTGATGAGGACCATTGATTGATGTTACAAGAATTATCTGCGCATAAGTACAAAGAATCCTCTAATGAATATTACTTTGACAGGAGAAGAAAATTACACTACCGACTTAGATTAACCAACTGACAAATATTGGAAATTTGAGAGCAAGTAGAGTATTAGTTTTTCAGAAGTTGACACGGATATGTCAAATTTTGATTGAAAGACATCAT